CTAAAGGTGCCATTTCATTCAAACATTTAATCAAAAAAATCATAATTTGAAAACGAAATAAACACATACACTTCTAACCACCTTGAATTTTCTTGGATATCAAAAAACAAAATGTACAAAAAGCATTTCTTCTTCTCACCCTTATTTTTCCCTTAGCTTAAATTGACATGAAATATATTTATTTTATTTTTTTTTTTGAGAGGAAATTCGGATTTAAAGAGGGGTTTAATGAAAAAGTGACCTTCCACTTCTTGTAACATTTCTTTTTAATGAAAAACTAAATGGGGAGAGTTGTATTATCATTAAGTCTGTTAAATTAGGTCTTCAACTAAGAATTTGAAGAGTTTTTAAGCCAAAAAAATAATTTATAAAAAGTTTTATAAAAACAACTACATGGTGATTCGAAGCTAGGTTGTCTATATGAAATACCATGTAGATGACCATTGTGGCAACCAAGTTATTCATTAAATCTTTGTAATCAAATTTACTTAAACTTAATCTTTTAAATTGTTGGGTTTTTAATTAACTTATGGCTTGGGGCTTTCAAAATCTTAAATGGGTTGAGCTTTCATGGCTCGTTTCTTGAATGAGCTAGGCTCGTAGTGCTTAGATCATCACAAAATAATAACCTAATTTCATTTTATTCCTCAGGCTTCTACACAAAAAATAGTAGAGTTTATCGAGTATACTATTCAAGTACTCGAGTTGTTATGGAGTCCATAAATATTGTGATTGGTGATGTTATTAGTGAGGGGGAGGGTGCGTTAAATTAGGGTGAGATGGAGACTTAAGTAATGATCCAGTAACGTCTAGTGAACCTAAGGAACAACCAATTTTAGATAATCCACCCTCTCCTAAAGGCCTAGACACTCCAGAGAAGAAGAAAACACCTAGTGACAAATCCAAACCCCCTAGGGAACTATCGTCTAGAGTCAGTCTAATCATCCTAAAGATAATATTATTGGAGATCTAGAAGAAGGCATGATGCTACAAAACAGGGTTCGAAACAACCTGACGTATACTAGCTATGTTTCCTAAATTGAGTACAAGAAAGTCGAAAAAGCCCTTAGGGATAAATGTTGGGTGAATGCAATGCATGAGGAGCTAAATCAGTTTGAAAGAAATAACGCGTGGTCCTTAGTTCCTAGGCTCATACATTGTAATGTGATAGGTACCAAGTGAATATTTAAGAATAAAATCAATGACCAAGGTATCATAACTAGGAATAAGGCTAGTTTAGTTGTCCAAGGATACACTTAGGTTGAAAGCACTGACTTTGATGAGACATTTGCTCCTGTAGCAGAAACCATACCACATGCTGGATCAGAATGCCCCTTGCTATAACTATCACCTTCAACGTCTCCAAAAGCATCCCAGACATTATTGACACCATGATACCTACGCTTCATGAGTACGACCCTAGCAAATGAACACAGTATATCCTCTGAAATTGATGGCAAAGCGGAATCACCAATGCCCCCCTGTGCAATGAATAGAACTGGCCCAGAGCCCTTCACAAGAGTTACTGTACCAAATTGAATATCCAACACAGTATTAAACTTGTCCCGATGTCTCTTAACTGGTTCTGCACTTCTCTGCAAAATGTATAACTAAGATTTCTTCCGTCCCTCAAGTACAACCCGGACACCCATTCAAAACTTCGAAACTCCACCTCCACCGGAGAATTTATACCCTTTCGCATCCAAAGTACTAAGTGAGATGAGATTCCTTTTTAGGTCTAGAACATGTCGGACCTGATCAATTGTTCTGATCGTCCCATCCCGTAACCTTAATCTGACTTGATCGATTCTATCAACAAGGCAAGATTGGTTATTTCTCATCACAACTCCACCTTGCTTGACAATCTCATATGTCTGAAAGAAATTCCAATTGGAACACATACGATGCAAACATGGCGTACCGAGGATCCACTCCTCGTCAGGCATAAATTCCATGTCAGATACCACGGTCAACATCACATCTCCGCCATTTGAGAAATCCTCAATTGCATTTATTTTAATCTGAAATCAAAGGTTGCGCTCCACGATTTGTAGCTAAATCACCTTTAGCCTGCAACTTATACAATCCTTCTGAATATGTCCCTTACGTCTACAGTAGAAACAAAACAAATTGCTGTTATTCTTCAATCTGCTCCTCCGTCGACCACCATGAGATACAAAAGCTTCCCCATCCCTCGATGTAGCTCCAACCAAATGCTTCAACTTCTCCTTTGAGTGTAAAGCATCATAGACGTCGTCTATAGTCAAAGTATCCCAACTATACAAAATGGTGTCCCGAAACGACGCGTAAGAGCCAAGCAGGGAACATAACATGATTAAGGCAAGATCCTCTTCATCGTACTTAACCTCCAACGTCTCCAAATCTGCGATAATTTCCTTGAACACGGCAATATGGTCTTCCAACGACCCTCTTTCCACCATGCGATGGGAATACAGCTCCTTCTTTAGAGCCAGTTTACTGGTAAGACTCTTGGTCATACATAACAGCTCCAGTTTCAACCACAAAGCAACTGCTATTTTCTTCTTCAAGACATCCTGCAGAAATATTGTTGGATAGATGAAGATGAATCAACGACAAAGCCTTTCGATCCTTCCGTTATTTCTCCTCCATCGTCCAATTAGCTGGTATCTTCTCAAAATCCAGCAACACATTGTCCAAATCCAACTGCGCCAAATAGCTCTCATCTTTACTTACCACAAAGAAAACATTGTATTGCGATCCAATTGCGGAATATCATACTTCAAAGTAGTCATTTCCAAAAAATCTCAACAAATCCACAACAAGAACTAAGCTCTAATACCACTTGTTAGACACGGAAGGATTATAGTGAATAAGATTAATGACGCAATATAAAGTAATGAAGATCGCAACGAGAAATAAGCTTTTAAAGTAAAGAAATTAACAAAGAGAGTTAATCGCAGATGCGCGACATTTTATTAATCAACAATATAGAAAGAAATACAAGAACTCAGCAATTCTTGCTTGAATAAAACTGAAAGAGGATACCACTATTTATAGGTACATGACATAGCATAAAGATGAAAATAATATATTTCCAAAAAAATCACGAGAAATATAAGGAAACAAATTTTCCCACAAGAAAATAAGAAAGCAATTTATTTCCAAAAAAAAAAAATCATCCTAATTTGGGTCAAAAACCCAACACGTATTAGTCAATCAACATATGAAAAGTACTAAAAAGTGCTCATATCATAATCATCTAGTGATTTTTCTGATTACTAAATAATCTAGACTTACCACGTTCCCATACAAAAATATATTTATCACAATTTAAATTCTAGTCACTTAACTTCTTCTTCTTCTTCTT